TACGTCAATCGTTGCGTCACACAGGACGTCCTAAGTTATTCTCGCGCTTTTGACGTGATGGCACGTCAATTAGACGTAATTAGTAATCATATATCTTCAAATGTCTGCATCTATATTTCATGAACCCTGTACTATAAATATATCTAGACAATCATTTGAATTAAAAATATTAGATTTATATATCTAATTCTTGTTAAAAAAAATCAATGAATTTAAATTTATTATCGTTGTCTAAGCTTCTAAAAATCTCGTATATATTGTATAATTTTATAATGGTGCTCATAATCTAATCCTAACCAAATCACAAAAAATTAGGCTATATATGTTCGTTACAATGACTTCATCCTAACTAAATCACAAAAAATTAGGCTATATCGATATATATTCGTTACAATAACTTAATACTAACTATATTAGGACCGATAGTCTTTTGGTCCGTCCTAAAAAAGACCAGACTGGCCCAGACCGATTACAGCCCTACACCACATTCATGTATGACAAGATGGGCAAATTGAATATCTCTAAACTTTTATATAACGATAGTGCGTAAAATGTCGTTTTTAATATACTTTAATAATAAAAAAAAATGATAATTCCAGTAATTTATTGTAGATTCTACTTTTTTATTTAAAAAAATTAAATTTTTATCACAGGTAAAATGATATCTAATAAGTTATTACTACCAGATTTACCAATAGACATCCCTATTAGATATCATTTTACCTGTGTGTCCTGGCTAGAAATTGTACCCGGGTAGATATAGTATAATAAATTACCCGTATAACTGAATAATTTAATAATACCCAGGTAGACATTTATATTATATTGTATAATAAAATTACCGGATAACCGAGAAATTTTCTTGACGGATAGTGATGGGCAAATTAACATTTTTTTCAAATTTCATGTACATGAAATTCTGGCCTTCACTATAATAGCTTGCTGTTAATGCGGCCAGACTTATAAAATTCCGAAATCTTCGAAATATTCCCATGCGCATGCGCACATCACTACAGTAGTTCTGGCTATCTTCTGGAGAGATCGCCCGTGGAATTGTTTGCATAGTTTAATCAAGAATAATTATTTTAAAATTCTTTCAAATAAACTTAAATAAGTAGCATTTTAAAATATTATATAAAGGCTTTTTTTACAATAATTATAATCTATTTTTTTTTGGCGATAAATTACAATTCCTCTAATACATACACTAATAACTACATAATAATTTCTCTAATACCTGCACTAATAACTACATTCGCACTTATTGTGAATTCTTTTTTAGAAATAAATATGAAGCCTACCTTGATCACTATATTATCCTTCCTTTTCATTGCTGTTGCTGTTTATGCACAAAAACCTCATGTACCCAATCCAATAGCACTTCAAGAAATGTTACCGTTACCAATCCTTGTTACCCAAGATGAACAGAATAAAAATGTTTATCATGCTGAAGTTAAATGGTATGGCCGTGGAGTTTCTCCTGACGGTACGTAAGAAAGGGAAACTTATCCCGTATTATATATTTTGATGATAATTATTCTCATTAAACCTTTTTTTAGAACGAGTTTTTAAAAGAATGAAATGCGAAAACGGTGTAACAGTTGACGCAACCAATGTGGTAAAAATGATTGATTCGTTAACATTCATTAATTGACTATATTTCCTTCTTTATAATGGATTTTCTGAATTGAATTTATTAAATAAATTTTTTAGAGAGGAGTTTACTCTGATCTCAATCATACATTTACGTTGACAGTTCCAAAAAACGCAAAGACTGTGAATTGTGTACGAGGAAGTCTTGATGGTGTAACTTTTAGAACCTCTTTCTCGTTCGAACATCATGAATAGCAATATATATTATTAGCAAAACACAATTTATACATAAACTAACATAGCACAAATGGGTGTCTCTCTGCAAAGTCTAAATATTCAAAATAAATAAATATATATATATTTTATTATTAACCTAATGATTAAAAGTCATAAGTAGAACAATAAACCTTGTTAACAAGTATTCTTTCGAAAATCCTTTGTGTGATATACAACGTTTCTGATTATCTTCTAAATATTTTCCAACATTTCATATTACATGTAAAAGAGATACGGAAAAAATTTCGATAATAAAAAAATATTTGGAAAAGTTGAATATCGCATCAAGTATTTTTGAAAGAATACTACAGCAGAGACAATTCGAATATGGAAATGATTTTCGTGTTAAACTATCATTGTTTGGACCAATCAAAATAGCATAACCCGATTGTTCAACCA